CACTTTTACATTTCTGATGTAAAGATCTCATCTTTCGGTGTTAAATATAAATGCATATTGATCTCTAATTATAATTAAATCCAAGATATGAAGAGATAAAACAAATTGGAAAAAATATCACAAAATTGCAATTCACTGTTTTACACAATGTTATGTTGCAAATCAATATATTAGATCCCGAAATCAGTCATAAAACGAAGTCGCGGTTTTATGGGAGGCAACGTCGAAACGAGACGAGCTGTACTTTGGGGCAGGTTTACAAATACGTGGATCAATTCCAGGTTTATCGTTCGGCAGCGGCGATTGGTCGACTCCCGACGGTTCGGTTCTACATATAAAACGTAGTTACGCATACAAATGTGCGCATACATGTGTAGAATCGTATATAAACATATATCATATATACATAATGAACATGGATTCTATAACCCAGGTGTGTGTATACCGCCATAATAATTCAGTCTCGAACATCGCTCTCTCCGCAGTGACCGCAACCTGCAAAGCTGACGAAACACGAGCAAATCAACTGTCGCAGCTATTTTCTGCCTAGTTACGTAAATTAATATTAGAAACGATACTGAAATTATTGTTTCATCGAGACGGATGCGGTGCGCACCGCGATCCTGAGCCTATCAACGTGACAACCATGTTTCGACGGATATTGTGGATTTCAGGTTATGGAAAGGGTAATGATTTGTTGGATATTTGATAATGATTGTTTGGGACAGGATTAAGTGCTATTGAAATGATGTTTCATTCAATTGATTACATAATCGATTACAATAAGATCGTTTTTGCATTTGGTATTTGTTATAATTAGTTCAGATACTTTTATCTAAAGGTATGTATATTGTTTTAAATATATATTTTCATTTCGAATAAGAATCTACTCTATTTTAGGCAATTTAAATATATTAATTAAATTAATTTTTTATTTACTTAATATTCAAACATCTTGTTTATTTTGAATATTGTATATATAATCAAAATCATACAAAAAAATTGTTGGTTATATGTAAAAAAAGAATGTTTGATTAATAGTATATTTGAGTTTACAAATTCGATATTTCAATCTTATATTTCTCATGTGTTAGATGATAAAAGATTCGAAGCGATATGTTATTTGTTAAACGATTAGTTCAACCAGTTATGTTATTTTAAATTGTCAACTAAGTCTTTCTCCCTAAAACATAACATCCAAAATAGCTACCACCTACAATTCTGTCAGTTTGATAAATGCGTCCTTGCTTATTATAGAACCGAAAATTCGAAATAAGAAACGGAATAGAAGTGTAATGGAATTACGCTGAAGAGTTATACAAAAACAAAATTTTATAAATTGCTATTTTTTTTTATCATGATAATCCATTTTAGTTAATTGATAGATTTCTTTTCAAAATTTAAATATTGGTATAATTTAGCAAAAAATATTGATAAATTTTTTACGATAGAGTGTGACAAATTCATTGATCAAATAATTTTTGTTTTAAAGAATATTTCATCACCTGATTGACAATTTTAACTTATACGATAGATTTAGTATGTTACACATAAAACAGTTTAGATAACGTTACGTCAATATTAAAAGTATAACGAACTATATTTATCGTAGATAATATTACTTTTAATACCGATATATCTGCGGTATTAGCGAATCAATCATCGAACACGTCATTAATCTTCTTTGGGAATTAAAAACACTATATTTTATGACGCCAATCGAATACTTTGATAAATATATTCTCTCTTCGGCGAATTATTTTATTATCGACAGTATTTAAAATAAGTAATTATATAAAAAATATATAATTTAAATACGATGAACAAGTTTAAAATTAAAATTATAAAATAAATTATCTATTATTTAAAAAAAATTTTTTGGAATCAAATTCAATATTTTCTATTCTAAATTGTTAATTATAAAAAAATTTAAAAAAAATTCAGTTCGAGAAATCCAATATTTGATATTTAAATTTTCAAAGGAAAATACAATCTCAGAAAAAATAAATGAAATTAAATAAAAAATAAAACTTCTCTTGAATAAATAATCTAATTTCTTCTAAAGAATTATTCCATTAATAAATCTTCTTAACTCTTCTTTACACTTTCAGCATATCATCAAATAAAAAATCATTTTCCCACATAGACTATATTACATAATAATCACTTTTGGCCAATGTGTGATTGCGATTACAACCTTTAAATTAGAAATTCGCCGCGAACGAGAATTTCACGACCGTTGTATACCACACATGTGTACTACACGCATCGCCGACGGTACTAGCTGTGGCAACGATGGAAAACGGTGATCGCAACAGCGGCACGCAAAGTGAGCCGACAAAGGCGTCTTATCGCGGTTAATTTATATTTCAAAAGGTTACTGGTACCATCGAAAGAACGTAGAAACTCTCTCGGCGCTATTCCACAAGAAATTCTATCTGTTGAAAGATTTATCAATGCATCCAAGATGATTTTGAGAATTTTTCTTATTATTAATTTTTTTCGTCGTAATGTATACAAAATGGCGGACACTGGAACATGTAAGCGCGGGTAATTTGATTTTTATACGAGCGTTCAATAAGTTTATGAAAATTTTACCAAGCAGGTATTTATTATTTTATATTAATTTAATTATTTCATGGTTAATAAAATAATTTTAAAAATTGTTTATAATTTATGAATATGAAATTTTTAGAGAAATTTTTCGTTCAATTTTCTTAATAATTAAATATCGTTCTCTTTAACTGAATAATCTTTCAATATCTAATTAATAAGAAAACTAACAGTTATATCTTCCAGATCCAATCTCGACGTTCAATTCCATCGAACACAAAATATCATGGTGAAACATGTGCAACGTATTAACGTTCTTAGGTTAATCGATCTCGGTGGAAGATCGAGGCAATTAACGCTAGTATCGCCAGTCGATGATGAACATTCGTCATCCGAAGACCGGTTTCTATCGGATGATTCACCATCATGGATTCTATAAAATCCCACCAACAATGTTCCTGTCATGGATTTTCTTTTGCTTTTACCACGTACATGATCTTTTTTTCTTTTTTTTTTTTTATCATTTTTATAAATCCTTATCATGTTTTCTTTTAAAATTCAAACAAAGTAGATATTATCGAATAGCATAGCTTCCAGGAAGGAATGAAAAATGTTTGAAACGGTTCTCCGGATTCTTCGTCGCGGTATTATGTTCGTAATAATTATTCGAAGTCAGACGGCATCTTGGTGGTAATAACTAGGTCCGTAATAGCCATTTGAAATTGAAATAAGATGTAACGATTCGTGGTAATTTTATTTGGCATTTCTATTGAAACGGGATTATATAGAAAAAGATATCGATTTCAGATCGAATTTTATTATTAAATTGCAAATGAAAATTTGATATAATATATAAATAATATTATAAATAATTGAATATTTAATAATAATATTATAATATTTAGAATTTTATATTATATAAATTTTGAATTTATGTTTATTATATAATATATCAGATCAACTTAGGTTAGATTAGGTTAAATTTAACTTATGTTAAACTCAAATAAGATATATAACGAATCGTGATAACTTTATTTATGTCTTGATTGGGAATGAGATTATATAAAAAGAGATATAGATTTCAAATCAATTTTATTATTAAGTTGTAAATGAAAATTAAAATTGACATGATATTTGGAATGTTATGTATTATAAATTTTGAGTTTATGTTTATCATATGATTAAGTTTAGGTTATGTTCTTATAATTTAATCAAGTTAAGTTATTGTTTCCTTATTAGATTAGATTATTACTTTTTTTATTAGATTATTATTATTTTATTATATTATTAAATATCTTATATTTAGCTTTAAGTCTCGAAGTCTCGAAATTTGACTGTAAAATACTCATTATTAGTAACGTAGCGATCCACGCTCCGCCATTTTCTCAATCAACAATCGAGATCAACCTCGAAGCCTTCTCTAACCTCAAACATCGATCAATTCTCGTCAACGTTCCCGCAAAAGGGAACGCAACGCGTGGCACGACTTTTACAAAGTAGGGATAAGTTCACCACACGCGGATACACTCTCCACCACGACACTATTCAATTTCTCATTCAGGATATCATGCATCATCTTTTGAGCTTAAAAATTATCTCTTCGATCTTCCAGGATTTCCGTGGCATGGCGTCTTGCACAATCTTCTCGAATCGTCATAAATCATGTCGACGGATTGCGTGGGCGGCTATGGAACACGCTCTAACCCCCTTCCAAGTGATGCATAGTAACATTTTACAGGATTTTTACACACCGTCACAATTCATCCGTTAATGACACCGACACTGGTAAAAGTATAATAATAATAATAATAATTATTATTATCTTTTTATTCTTTCTTTTTCCTTTTTTTCGAGCGGAAATTAATCAAGCGTGAAAATATATTGAACCGTTATGGTTTTATACGATTTAATTTATGCGTTGACAAGTAAATTATTCTTTGTAGAAATTGCATTTAAAATGTATTTTGTAATTTATCTTTGTAATTTTTTTGAATTTTTTTTTTTTTTTTTTATTAATTTCGAAAAACCTTTTACCATTAAAACCTTTGTAATTTATATAGCTTTTTATTGCAAGATTTTTTTTTTTTTTAGTATTACTTCTCACTTTCTTTTTGATATTTAATGCAATGTGTAATTTATAAATATTATAGTCGTGAAATTAAATTTAGCTTGACAATTTATTTATTTATCTTTTTAACTTTTTAATTGGTCAGATGAGCCTCTTTTGAAAGAGTGTCAATCAAGCTTTAAATTTGAAAATATCCAATCGTCAATTAAATAAGAATTAACTCTAATTCAAAATAAACATAATTTTAACTGTATAACACGAAATCAAAGATTCGCGAATTTTTAACATTCAACGCAATCAAAGAAATACGACTATGTAATTATATTGGTGGAAATATAACGAAAATGTAACGAGAGTACAAAAAAAAAGGCGAACTCACTCATTATGTACACGCAATCTGGCATTCCGTGTGTCGAACGTATAAAGAGCGCCTCTTAAAAGTGTGTTCAGTATGGACGAAAAATCTGCTTGATAAAATGGACTTACCTGAAACAAAGGAAAAAAAAAAAAAAAAAATTTAAAAATATTACTGAAATATATATATATTTATTTATCACATATATGTTCTTCCCTTAGTGCAACTTTTTCGATTATTAATCAAATAAAAAAATTATAATTAATGTCATAGTTCAATGCAGATATATTGCATCGCCGATGAACGAAATTCCTATGTCTCAGCTACGAGGGAACTTAATGAAAGAAAGCATCAACTCTATGCGGACGTAGCACACGCCTTTTCGTTATTTCTCATAATCGCCCACGCTTGGCCGCTCGCCAGCCAAGAGACCCTGGTTTCCCGAGAATCGAAAATAATCACGTCTTCCTCCTCCGCCTTTTCCTCTTCCTTTCGTACGCGTGAATCGTCCGAGGAAAGCGGGAAAGCTAATTTAATTAACGATCCATTTCGCCACTCTCTGTCTTCGAATTATTTTACGCCTTTGAAATAATTAAATTTACGACGAGAAAGTACGCTTCTATCTGTGAACGATAGTATTTTAAGAAGAAGTGACAGAATTGATCGTAAAAATGATTGGATCCGTAGATCACGGGTTTACTTTGGAATTAGTAAACGAAGTCAAATTGATTAATTCAATTTTTTGTATTTGCAATTGAATTACATAATCTCGAAATTAAAATATTCATTCTGTTTAAAAATAAATATACGTCTGAATATTTTTTAAAATTAACAAGTATGTGAATATATATGATTTATGGTTAGATATTATCCTTTCTTATTAGTTTTTTCAATATGTGATAACAGTCAACAGGAAATGAAACAGGAAAGAAAAAAACGAAGATCTTATCGTACCGTGAAACGTATCGTAATATACGATCATAAATGCTTATTATCTAGTAAAAAACATACGAGGGATAAGAACGGTCAATTACATGAAACTATAATTAACATATTAATGAATCGATTCGAACTTAATAATATATTTATTCTGATACAAAATGTCAATATATTCATATAGGATATCTTTGCAGAGTTGATTCTGCAAAGCCCAAAATAAACGCAACAGTTGATATACAAAAATATCATTTAAGACGTATTTATTAAGCAATTTAAATTTACATCAAATGAGACGAAACAAAAATGGTATCGTCAATCAAAGATCATATCAATATCATTTTAATCTTTAATTTCTTTAAGAAATTACAAATTACAAATTAAATTGATAAATCATTAAATAACTATTCTTTTTATATTGTAAAGTATACCATAATAATTCATAAATTCATTTAATCTAGTTAAGATCAATGATAAATTTCATTCCAAACATGCTTGTCTATCAATCAATCTATCTCTAAAAATTTTCCATCGACGACACTAACTAAATTTGGTGCGCACAATGTATCTGCACATGTATCAACAGACGTGCCCCGCGATGCAAATTTGCATCTGGTTGCGCAACCGCGCTCTCGGACATGGTCGCAAAAATACAGTCATACTATATCGATCGATGTGTAATCGATGAATCTAATAATGGCCTGAGCCGCTATTATTCAAGATCGACGCTTGTGCAGCACGCGGTCAAAATCCACTCGTGAAATCAACACGGTTGAGAAAAGATATATATTCCCCTTTACAAACTGGCGAAACGTTTCGTTGGTGGTAGGCGGCCGAGCGTGGGTCTCGGTGGCCTCTCTACCGCGATTTAAATATTTAACTCCGCTTAAACGTGAGCGAGAGCCAACCGTTACTCGCGCGAGCGATAATTTTCATCCGCGGGTAAAACTCGCTTGGGAAAATCGACCGACCGCGTGAATCATCCTCCCACCTGATTTCCAATCTAGCTGATGAGAACCAATGGGAAAATTTCATTGGCACTCTTGGTTTTGCATTTGTTAGGTTAGGTAATACTAGTTCTCTGCCTATTTAATTGGAATCTTATTTTTTTATTTGTGTAGTGATTAGATAATCATTTACCTTGTTATTATTATATTATCGTTACGAGCAGTAATAGATAAAGTGTGCGAAGCCAAATTTGTAATACTACTGGCCTACTGGCTGTAAATTAAGAAGTAAGAAAAGAAGATCACATTTCCAATTTTCGACGATAACGAGGAGTCAAAAATCATACGTCATAACTGAAAGTAAAAATGTATGTAAACGGTTTGAAAAGCGAAAATGCACAGATACATTGCAAACATACATAAATTGAATTGAACTGATATAAAATAAAGATGTTACGTTCGAAGATAAATTTTACGATTGAAAATAATCGTATTATTATTTAAAGTATATATTATATATATTTAATAATAAAAATTACGTGAAATTGTCACGTGACTCGTAAATCTACACTTCGGGAGAAATCGGAAAAATTCGGATAGGATCGGTTGGAATCTCGAAGTACATGGTTGATGATTTCGTGTCAATTCGGCAATAATTGAATGCAGTAGTCTCTATAATATTAATTTTATTATAAAGTAAGTGATGAAATATTTAGAAAACAAATTAAATCGCTTCTACGTAATATTATATTAATTTTAATTCATAATTTATTTTTCTTGAAATATTTTACAGATTAAATTTTTCAATATTCAATCTTTAAATAACCTATATCATTTAAAGTGAGTTAAGAAAATTTACTTTAAGATTCAATATACAATTAGAAGTAATTTTGTTCGCATAGAATAATAGAAATATACATTTAAACTTTGCAGAGATTATCTAACGGAAGAAGACTAGCAATTGTCACAAAGTATAATTCATCTACCCACAATTACTTGAGTTTAAATGGATTGTTCTCTCTAGGGATGAATTATGTTCCTCATTAAAACGCCTGTTGAAAAGATTATATAAAATCAAGTTGGAAAGGTAAAATACTAATATTTTTTTCTCGAAATCTTTTAAAAAATAAGATCTTGTAAACAAAACAAGTACAATTGAAATAATTTTAATTTTATGATACATTTATAATGCCTTCATTTACATACACATGGTTCTCTCTAATATGTTTTATACGATAAAATTTAAGTGATTTGACCTTATAACAAGAATAAATTATTAATGCTTCCCATTTAAAATAGGGAATCGCAGTAATTTAACCTGAAGCTTGTACATCTAATATTGTATATATCTTAAATTTCAACCTTTCTATTGTCGATAATTGCTGATGTATTATTCATTTGTTCCAATCTCGCGCCGGTATTAACGAGCGAACTATCGACAAAGTGGGCATTAAATATGTAAAGCTTTTCAACTTTAACAAAATATAAAAGTTGTAAATTATTTCACTGCATTTTTAACCATGAGATAAAATGAACAATTTTATAATTTTGTTGCAAGATTTTATAATCAGATTTAATGATACAATTTTATAATTAAATATGATCTATTAAAATGAAACTATAATTCTAACAACTTGATTATTAATTTTAATAAAAAAAAAATTTTCTCTGTAAAAATTTTTAAAATAATCTAAAATACATTTTTACAAAAAAATATATATATTTTTGCGAGATAAGCGACATAAGATGAATGTCTATAAATTTTAACGAATGATTTTCAATATCCTTGCAATTGATCTCGGACAGTTTAAAATTAATGCGTGCTAACAACCCTGAGCCCTACTACTAAAATTTGTAATTTTGCCAATAGCTTACGTGACAGCTTAGACTTCTTCGAATCAAATAGACGCCTTGAAACGTTCTGTCCTTTGAGCTATTTTAAATAAACAATTCTATATTTTGCATTTCATTTCCTATAAAGTATTTTTCCATTCTTAGATATTAACAGAACATGTAAAAATTTTTCCTATTATTTTCATCATTTCACAATTAAAAAATAATAATCTTTTCCAATTTTCGAAATTTCGAGATGCAATATTCTATGTTAAATTGAAAATTTCTCTATATATTCTTATTTTCGTCATAATTAGAGATAGAATATTCCAAGATATATGATAAATTGAAAATTTTCTATCTTTTATCCTTGAAATTTCGAAACGAAAAACAAACATCTCTCGATGGCTTCGTTAGCCATCGGAAGCTGAGTCGAGGGCCGGAAACGAGATAATCGAAATTGCACGCGCGCCAAGAACCTCTTGGATTGGGACTTTGCGTAGAAAGCGAAATGCGCTCGAATCTCGACGCATCCGGTCTCGAGCCACTTGCCAAAATCCCCACCATTGTGGAAACTTCATTCATGACTCGTCCCGTGTGCAGGTGTGCTCGTTTATTAAGTCACCGGAGAGGGGAAACGTAACGCGCAAAAATATCAGCCTTTGATCTTACAAAAGGAAAATGCAATCCACCGTTCTTCTTATTATTTTGAACTAACCCTATCTTAATGCTTTAAACTATTATGTCGATTCACGTGATTCATCATGAAAAAAAAAATAAGTAAATAAAGATAAACATATTCAAAAATAAAAAACACTATATACATATATTAAAATATACAAAAACTAATAACATAAAACATAATATACATAAACTAATAACATAAGTATATAAGATTGTGAATAATTAATATATGCATAATTATTACAAAGAATTTTAATCAACTTTGATATTATTTGATATTCATCAAATTCATTCTGTTAAAATATACAAATAAACTAATAACATAAGCATATAAGATTGGGTGAATAATTAATATAATGCATAATTATTACAAAGAATTTTAATCAACTTTGGCATTACTTGATATTCATCAAGTTCATACGAACACTTTATAAATGCATTCCATATTTGAATACAAACTTTTAATTAGCTGCAACTTTCATGATAAACCTTGCCCGCCTAGAACAAGATCAAAAAAAAAAAAAAAGAAAAGAGGATAGAACAGAGCAGAAATATACGCAGGGTAAAAAAAGGAGGAGCAGTAATGTGGCTTCGCTATTCGAAACCTAGCATTCCCAAAAACGTTCTCGAGGCTTTCCTATCTAAAGAGGGAAAAAGATCACCGCTAGAGGTCGTGGTTGAGTTCCGAGGAAAGATTCGAGGTGGTACAACGAAGCGGCGGTAGAATCCATGGGCGTGCTTCGACCATTTTCTTCGCGTGAAACTGCACGAACGGCCGCAAACCATCTCTCTCCCTCGAGGAGCACTCGACTATTTTAACCGTGAAATAACTCAGTCGAGGAGGGTTCGGTCGGGGAGGGAGTGGAAGAGGAAGAAAAAGAGGGATCGTGGGGACGGTGAGGGGAGGGATGCGGCATGATATGTGGGTCCTAAAGATAGAGCACCCGAAACAACCATAAACCTTTTTATTCCACTTGCCCTGGCCCCGACGATCCTTCTATCTGTCTCTCGTTCGCCGCTTAAGTGTACACGTGGGTTACATTTTTTTTTTTTTTTAATTTGAAAAATAATTTTTCCAGGGATGGAAATAAGGATATTGTTGTTTTTAATTCTTTCGATTGAATATTCTTTCATTTCATTTTGTGCAGACTTGAGGGGGAAAAATTTAAAGGTGAATACAAATTATGAAATACAATTAAAAGTATCAAAATAAATACAATTAAAAGTATTGGTATTGGTATTTGAGAAGTGAAAACGAATTTCTGTCTGAATTTGTGACAAAATGTAAAAAAAAAAAAGGAAAGGAATTTAAAAATTTAATTAAGCTTCAAAAAAGAATCTGAACATCCTGAGACAATTTATAATGTAAAATAATTTTCTGATTCTCGTTTTATGGATAATCAATTCTTCATTGCTTTTCCTTTTCTTTCTGAATTTTATTTTTAACATTAGAGGATAGAGACAGAGTACAGATAATTATGGACTGTTTTAACCTGTTAACTAGGTCGTTTCTTAAGTGGAAAATCCCTTTTTAACGGTGCATTAAAGAATTATAAAGAAGGATTAATTTGTCTTGGCCATTGCAAATATGGATTCGAGAATGTATTTTTAATTTGGATATAACGACATGATGAGAGGATTCGGCGAGATCTCTGAGATATTGAATCGGTGAGTTTAACGTGGAATACGACGATTTACATCGGGGTTTATTCCCTCCACAGATTCGTTAATATTTGAAATTACGATTTTCCTTTGCGTTTTATAATTTCGAAGGATTGAAACGGAAGAAGAAAATTTAGAATAACAATGCCAATGTTACGGTAAAATCTATATATGAATAGCTATTTATTACAATGATATATTACTTTAAAAAAAAAAAATGAAATAATCTATATTAATATTCAAAATCGATGCAATAAAAATAGCATATTTTTGCAAAAATAAAAAAAAATTTCTCTTTGCACGTGTTATAATAATATTTTTTTAAATTTAAAATAAATAATAATAGATGAAGAAACTGTATACGTGTTTTTTACAAAATGATAAAATTTCCAAAATAAAAAAATTGAATCGTGAACTTAATTTGCATTTTACTGCATCTCCATCAGTATAATATAATGAAATCTCCAACTTGAGAGAAACGTATCTAGTGTGAAGGATAATAAAAAAAAGTGAAAAAATGTAAAAAAAGAAAAAAAAAAAGAAAGAAAGAAAGAAAGAAAGAAAGAAGAAAAAATCCTCTTTTTAGAAACAGAATACATACCCGCATCGTATCAAAAGACTGAAATAACCAAGAGAAAAGATTATATAGACTAAAATAACCGAGAGAAAAGATTATATAGTTTCAAAGAAAGATTCGTGTACAAAAGAGCATAAAATAAAAGCCATTAGCAACAGCTCGCTAAAATTACGAGATAAAAATCCATGCCCACGTAACTCATTGTTGCTTTCTTCTAAAAGAAACAAGAACAATAAGATTTCACCTCCGATAACCGACCTATTTCCACGTTTAAAATTAATGATTCTATACTTGCATTATGAACACACCATTTCGCGGTTATGGAATACCATATTTCAGAGGTTAAGTGGAAAAATGTCACTGGATGATGTCTCTCTCTCTTCTTTTGCGGAATTAATTTATTAACAATTTACTTGTTAAAATTAGTTTTATTATTAAACAGATTTCAATCGTCGTAAATTTATGTTCTGTTTTTAGGGATTGGATAATTATTTTTTTTTTTTTAATATCTTCTTCGAGATAATAATTGTAATTCTTCTGGATCCAATTGACCATAAACTTTTAAAAGTATAAAATTTTACTTTTGAATTTTTCCTAATCAATTCTTATTTTGAATCGAATAACAACGAAATAAAAATATATAAACGTCAAATTTCAACATTTTTCGAAGTTTAGAATATTGAATAAGATATTTAAAGTGAAAATATTAGGAGTTTTATTCCATAAAATATTAAAAAAAAAAAAAATTGATGTTCGATAATAAAATGTATTTCATATCGAAAGTATCGAGTTAGAAGTATATTATACTCGAATTTCATTGAAAACGACGCTTGATGTATGAAAAAAGAAAATTTCTTAAAACAATTTTGGACGGTTTTCAAATCCATTCAAACTATCGTTAAAATTATCAGGATCGTGGAAACAGGACTGAATATTATCAAGGTTCAGATCTTAAAGAGACGAAGGGTCGTTTTTGCCCCGTTTTCCACTTCGATATTTTGCTGAGTTGGCTTAATGCGTTTCGCATGAATCAGCTGATTCTTCGAACGGGCGATGATTTACGAAGCGACCGTTCGAAAATTGGTCAAACACGGTCCCACTCCTTATATTGGCCGTTTGAGATTCTATCTCCAAACTTTGTTTCCCTCTTTAAATTTTCTCTTACAAGGTAACACTTTCTCGTATGAAATAAATTAGTTCGATAAAAAAAAAGTAAAAATTGTGAGAAAGTTTATTCCTAATTTTCGGATTAAATTTTGTCGAACGAATGTTTAAGATATTGCAAAAGATTTCATAAAGTTTTAAATCTATTATTAATTATGCATTATGCAAGTAAATTCAAATAAATCATCTTTATGAAATAAGAGATTTCATTGGTTTAATTTTAAATCCATTTCATTCAATATAATCAAATAATTAAATTATTTTAAATTATTGGAAAAATATCTATAAAACGTTCAAGTTTCTATTTATTTTTTCTTTAATTCGATGAATTATATTAGGTAAAAAAAAAAAAAAAAAAAAAAAAAAAGAAGATTAAAGTAGAAAAAAATGATCGTGAAATACACGATATTGGATAACACAGGTGAAGCTAAAATCCGTTAACGAGCAAAGAATGTTTAACTACTTAGGTAAACAGTGTCATTAAGAAAGCAAGACGATTAACCTTTTCGAGAACGGTTCTGCTCGAACGAAAAAGGAGGGAAATGGTACTCGCCTCGT